AGGGCTTGTCATCCACGGAAAACTCAATGTCTCTGACCAATCCGTGCCTGTACGTAAATCTTATGGGCATCTTGAGCATCTGCTTCTGTTCCTCATCAAGTTTTACAAGCTGATAGCGCTCGAAAGGCAGCAGCTTATGTGGCTCGAATTCTTCCTGAATGGATCCAAAGCGGATCTCATTCAGCTGGAACAGGAAACGCTCATCGACAGGCTGTAAGATTACAATAGCCTGAATTCGAGTGGCGGACTGTTCAGTGTTGGGTAAGGCGAGTCCGGTGGTGACCTGACCATTGAAGAGGTAACGGTATTCGCCATTGGGACGGAACGCCACCTCTTCAATGCGAGGCGTTGGATTCCAAGTGAGCGATGAGGCGAGGGCTAAGCCCAGAAGGGCGATGCCGGCTAACAACTTCATTGTTGTTATTCGTGCAGAACACATGACGAGTCCCTCTTTTATGCAGTAGAGTTATCGCATCCTGGATTGATGTATGTCGATCAACTGAGAGGAATTATTTTACGATCACTTGGCAAGGGTGTCAATCAGGTCATTGCTATTCTTATCGAAAATACTCGTGAGAGTTCTATGATTAAGAAACTGTAGTGTTTTGCACAAGTTGTTGCAGTCACTTTGTGTAGAAATTTTGGAATCAAGTACGTTGAAGCAGAATGGATGCGAATATGCTTGGAAATGGATCTTTTTTAATGAATTTAGTGACCTATGACATTAAAGTATTTTAGCTTATAGAAGTATTCCAGTATCATAAGTCAAAGTATCCATCAAATAGCTTTAGACTTGCTTGGTTTAGTACTAAATACCAAAGTTTGCAAAGTAAGGAGAATACAACTGCTAAGGACATACTGATTTCTTAGGATTGGCATGTTGACAAGCATTACCACAAGCGTAATACAATTAATTATTTGCTGTGAAAGATCTCAGATCAAAGAAAAATCATTGAAATATTCCAGTTTTTTCCCAAGACAAACTCTAGGTTTTTATACGTACCAATCCTACCCTTCTCCCCTTTTTTCCCATCCTATTTGAACAATCATAAGCAAAAAGTAAGGCGTAAACTTCTTATCAGTGTATTATCTACACTAGAAATTCGCCGGATTAAGGACTTAGCAGTTTTTTTTTCAGTTATCAAAAACGGAAACGTATTGTATAGATGTTTGGTTTCATGGTGATTGCATACTATGGGCTCCTGATGTGCAAATGAAAGGAAACCAGTTAACAAATCTGGAAGAAAAGCTTCATCAATTTTGGAAACAGGTAGTTTATAAGAATTAATGAGTTGGGGTGTAGTAGCCATACATTTAGAGATAAAGAGCAAAAACTACTGGTGGAATCTTTTTAGACTCTGTTTGAGCGAGCATGATTTGGAGATTCATATACACTTTGACTTGCAATTTTGTCATCTATGAACGTAGTTATTTGGAGTGTTTTTCAAGAATCGCAACTGGATTTGGTTGAGCAGCACTGCAGCCTATACCGTATTTATCGCAGTAGTTTACAAAAAATTTTCCCTAGGAGGGAGAAGGCGAGAAAGAAAAGTCGGTCAAAAAGAGACTTAGTGTAAGCGGGGCTACACCGCGCTTTTTTGAAATTGTGAGAAATTTTGTTTTGATTTTGCTGGTTTTTCCTTAGAAATCAATAATAACTATCACTATCAATGAAAACAAGTCATTTTCCTTTTTGTTCTTTTTTCCGTTTCTTTGAGGAAGATTGGTGAAAGCAAGCACACGATTGTTGTGTGGATGTATTAGGCTGTCCCAAAAGTATTTGCAAGAGGATTTCAAATCTGCTCTTCGCGTGATTGATTCTGCTTCATTTAGCCTGTTATTTATAAACTTCTTTGTAGCTCGTAGATGTTCCGCAGAAGGTAGTTTGCCTGCATCGACCCAAAAGACGTTTTGAGGGATTTTTGGAAATAACTTTCGTTCCTCGTAGAGACTTTATCGAAGCCAGTAGGTGTTTGGGTGGGCTAACATTTAATGGTTATTTACTTTTTTGTTGTAGGTCGTTAAAAACATCTACGGATCACGTGAAAAAATCACCAAAAAAGTCGTTTTTCTTTTTTTCTTATCATGACGAGCATGCTCAAGTGTCGTGACTCAAAAAACCTTTAAAACGGATCATCCCATCGACGATCCATTAGAGCACAAAATTGCCCAAACTCTCATATCACTACATGCAAATCAATTGAAACAAGCACCCGCAGGATTTTGTGACATCTGGCTTTATGCCAATTCAATAAAAAGAAATTACCCACAGCTGCTGAAACTAAAATTTGCTGATCTAATGAGATGCACCCGTGCTATCTTTTAAGGAGTCAGCATTAACAATCCTATGGCCCTGAGTCTCCAGCAAAAGCCACATCATTTACTAACGCGAAACTATCTTTAAAAATAATTGAGACAATACTTATTCAGACATGTTGGATTTGCAAGAATACTGGTGCAGCCATCAGTGTGGACAACAAATTCGTGCATTTCCCTTGTGCGAAGAAACACGGTAAGTTCTTTATCCACCTTAACTTTTTTTGGAGTTTGAAAAAATAACGCATGATCTTGAAACTGATCACCTTTAGTACTTTTTGGGTTTCTTTCATAATCCGTTTAATCATTAGTCCTCATTATTTGTTCACCAACAACATGGCTTTTACCAGAGCCATAAATCCGATGGCT